TAACAATGACTTTACAAAATGATACTAACAGGTGCCTCACTTGGTACTCAGCATTAAGAGGCTATTGTTAGGACTGGTCGGCCTGGTGTCAGGATAATGTGACTGGGTGGGACATCATGTCACATGTCTGCGGCATGATGCTCCAGTGCTAGACATTACTATAGACTGCCACACTGCAGACATCGTAGCGATATGACTGAAAAATTATTAAAAGGTACGTTAAAAATCTAAATCACACACTCACACTTTCAAGTTTATTATTTCCAATAGATAAGACGTTCTTTTGTTTCACACCAAAACATTTTATTCTACCGAATGATGTGTGGATATGTATCAGTGGGCCAGTGGCCTGTATTACAAATAAACACACATATATAATATTCACCGGCGAAATAATGTTCATATTTTTTCTGTATTTGCACAGGTTAACACTATATCCTTATATTTTTTTTTCATGTGAAAATATTAGATTTCCCAATATGCCATGGAACGCGTGATTGAGTGTGCCCACAAACCTTGTATCTGCCGGAACAAAAACAAATAAATAGAACCTATTGACTTACACCGTAACTATGGAAATGAATCTTTGATATGAAAATCTGACCAAACAACGATGATATATCTCCGAAGTTATTTCCCCTTACGTCGTTGACAACAATAGACACAGATGGGGTCAAATAATTTTTAAAATAACAAATATGTTATTTACTGCGATAGATTTGTTCAACCCAATCCTGCCACTTTCTGACGTCACTTACATTTGTATGATCATCCTACGGCAATGAGGTTAATTTACGTTAAGGGTGTAGGGGCGAGTGTATTATGACAAAGAGTGAATTTAATCTTCTAAATTTCCATTCTGGAGAAAATTTGGTATATAATAAAATTAAAATTTTCTTTTCTACGTTAATACCGGATATATGTCATACTGTTATACCAAATACCAAATAAAAATAGCGCGTTTTGGTACTATGCGATGAAAATATCCGTTATTAACGTATGAAAAGAATACAGCATATATATATATATATATATATATATATATATATATATATATATATATATATAGATAGATAGATAGATAGATAGATAGATATAGATATATATATATATATATATAGATATATAGATATCTATCTATATGTATATATATATATATATATATATATATATATATATATATATATATATATATAGATAGATAGATAGATAGATATAGATATATATATATATATATATATATATATATATATATATATATATATATAAATCATTTGTTTGTTAAAAGGCTAGTTACTAGTTGATAGTTAATTACCTACCAATAATCGGATAGCATTCAAGGAAATATGATTCTCCACCTAAGTTTGTTATTGTTTTTATTGTTATTGTTGTAGGGTTTAACGCCATTTTTCAGCACAAGATAGGCTATACATGGCGGTCAGTATTTATGGTGGAGGAAGATCACTAGAAAACCCAGGGAAGAACCACCAACCCCCAAGAAGCTACTGGCAGGCTTTCTCACTTACCCACGCTAGCCAAGTCTTGTTTCGAACTCACGCAGACAGAGGTGAGATGGCAGTGATCCATAACGGTTAGCGCTTTAGACCACTCGGCCAATCAGGGCCCCTCCACCTAAGTTTGCAATGTCCTCATATATCATATGTTTTAATAATAAACATTCCAGTCGATTCGAAAAGAAAGCACTTTTGTCTTAGATAGAAACATATAGTGATTTTTTTTATTTACTGAACCGGCCGAGTGGAAAGAAAAAACTCTTTGCCATTTTCAGAAACTTAATGGAAGATGACGAGATGCATTTAGTTTGAAATAAAAAAATTAACCTAATATGATCGATTATTCTAGTTCGTTTACTTTTATATCCGCTCTAAGCCATTATGGTTAATTTTGTTTTTGCTTTCAGGTTCTCCTTCTCGTATTTTCATACTGTCGCTGAAATTTTGTTTCAAAGTCTAGACCTTCATTATGATTCTGATTTAGTTATGTGAATTCTAACGTGATACCTGTGGTGTATCCTTTGCAGGTAGAAATCGTGGTAAGGAAGAAAACCCAAGAGAAATGGTGTGAACATTAGAGCAAAAACAAATTGCTGCTGCTAGTAAATAGCCAAAGCAAGTATTGACAAATTAAACGTAATCGTCGCAAGCTTTCTTAGCGATCCTATACAAGGTAAGCTATATTTCATATGGGAGTCTGTCTGTGCGTGCGCACTTGTGTGTGTATATGTGCGTGTGATTTGGATTTTTAGCGTAGCTTTAACAAATTTTCAGCCATATCGTTACGATGTCTATAGTGTGACATTTTATAGTAATGTCTAGCACTGGGGCATCATGCCGCAGACATGTTACATCAGGCGGTACCATTATCCAAACATCAGGTCGACCAGTCCTAACACCAACGTCTGTTATGCATATTTATTTTAATTGCTGTTTTATTTTATTATAATCTATAGTAATTAAAAATTGTATGCTGGACTTGACCTTGTCCAAATATTGAATTTATTTCTGCTTGATCCGATTGACTTTTGTTGTTTTTTTTTCATTCATTGTAAACATCTACTACATATCTGAATTATTCCTTCCATGTATGGGCTTAATATCAGCATCATTATTAATGGAAGAGGTAAATATGTTGATATGTATGGGCTTAATATCAGTATCATTATTAATGGAAGAGGTAAATATGTTGATATGTATGGGATTATTATCAGTATCATTATTAATGGAAGCGGTAAATATGTTGATATGTATGGGAATAATATCAGTGTCATTATTAATAAATGAAGTAAATATGCTGGGTCAAAGTTTTGGAGTTTCCTGATTGAATTATACATAATCCAGGTTATTGTTTTGTAAACATCAGGATCATTTTTAGAAAGTTATGTTCCATGAGGCAATGAGTTTTTTTAGAACATGCTAATTGTGACATGAGTTCAAGTAGAGAACTATATTATTTTGTAATTGTGACGACTTGGTCAATTGTGCTTTAACATCTAGCACTTTCAAGCTGTATATTATATGTTTTGACCAGTAGGTTTGGGCTGAAATCTTTTTTGTTCAACTTATTGAATTCAAGTGATTATTTGCTCTGGAAATACAAAAGTGCTCTGATATAATTCTCTGATAAAGACATTTTTCTAGAATTCATAGCATATTATCAGACCTGGAAATATATTTCTTTGATTCCATAAAAAATTGGCACATGAACACTTTATTAGCTACCTCAGACTTCAGTTTTGGGATTTTATCTGAAATTTCTCAATTTGATTCAGAACTTTAAATTACTTGGACTTGTGTTTGTAACTCTTGGACTGTTTGGGGATTTTATTCGCAATACCGTAAGCTGCTTTTTCTCATTTTTACATTGTATTCTAGGGAAATAAATATATTTGTTAATTTTTGCAAAGTTTGTTGCCTTTCACTCTTTTCTGTTACCTATTTTAAGAGCATAGACTCGTAACACATCTTAATGCCGAGCGCCTAGCAAAGCAACTGTTAGTATCATTTTTATAAGTTCGGAATGACTCGGCCAAGGGTTAGAACCCACGACCTCCCGCATTATAGACGGAACTTCTAACTACTTAATCAACCGGAGCGATCTTTCTGGAAGTCTCTACCAGCTGCAACAAAGAACAATGTGGCTCTCGCTATGTTTGATCGTGCAGTTTTAATTAGAGGGCCAGTACGTTTTAAGAATGGTAGTAATCAATATTGTGTTTATCTAACACTTACAAATAAACAAGCCACCACTCGGGTTGCATAGTGGTTAGAGCGTTCAGGTCATACGTGGGAGGTCGTGGGTTCGAGCCTTATCCGAATTAATGGTTAGTGTTAGGAGTGGTCGGCATGGTGCCAGGATAATATGACTATGTGGAAAATCATGTTACGTGTCTGAGGCATGATGCCCCATAGCTAGACATCACTAAAAGCTGTCACACCAAACACAAATAAGCATATATATATATATATATATATATATATATATATATATATATATATATATATATATATATATATATATATATATATATATATATATAAAATTTACTTACTTAGGTATTTGTGTGTGTCTTTCTAATGGCTTGTCGGTTTAAGTTTTAAAGCCTGTGTTAAAGCGTTATTTTAAATAGTTGAGACTATAAATAAACCTTATCATATCACCCGTTGAAAAGTGAATACGAATATATAAACATACACAATCAACAACACAATGTAACAATATTCTACACATCAATGAATGTGCGCATCTTATCAGTCGATATGTGTCCGTGTCAGGGAAATAAAATTTGATTAGCTCAGTCAAACTGTAAATGTTTTACTCGAACTGACTGGCTAAGCAGATTATTGCTGTTACGTGACAAAGACTTGTACTCAGTAACAAAAAAAAAAGAGTGAAAGCCCACAAGTTTTGTATTTTTTTTTACAAAACAGTTTGTTTCCCTAAACAACAATGTAAAAATTGGTAAATAGGACTTACAATCTGTAATATAAGCCAAAATGTGACCCTAAGAATGAAAACACATGTCCTATCACGAAATAGTCCTATAAGATTCCAGGTTCGAGTCCCGACGACTTACAAATATGGAAGGCGATGACGTCAAATGTGGTCCAATGTATGAATAACAATAATTCCTCACTTGAATCACAGTCTTTGTTTCCGAATAATTCCAGAATTAATTTCCTTAAAAATCTTTCAAAATTTTTATAAAATGTCACCTTGTTGAGTTTCCAGGATAATAAATTTTTAAATCCAAAAATCAGACGAAGAATAAACAATCGCAGCAGCAAATTAAAACATACACCTTGTTCCTTCAAGGTTTTGAATGACTCTGCCTAAAAAAATCACTTAAAATCTCGCGAGATTGGTCATGTGGTCTCTTACTACGCTAATTTTCACACGTAAGCCAGTGTCACTCCACTTAAAAAAATCATAAAAAGGTTGTTTACAAACAGTGATCACGCAAAAAAGTATGCCTGTGATAC